TCCATCTTTAGAAGACTTTTGGGAGAATTCCTCTCTATCGGTAACGTTAAGTAAAACCACGGAGGAAGCCGTGTTGCCGGAAGTGTTGACATCAATCAGCTATTCGATTGGTGTAGCACGATCACGTGTCGAACCGTGCCACCACCCGCCCACCAAAATCTTATTGCGCCCCAAAGACGCTAGTTCTTTATAATAATGCATCGATATAAAAAAAAAACGGGCAGGATATTTTGCCACGAACTTTTTGCTGTTAGTTTAACGTAACTTGTTCTTACTTATGAAGTTGAGATCGTGTAGTTCCCAGACGTTGGAGCGAGATGAAACGATAATCAGGTTCACCTTATGGCCTAGAGGTTCAATCAAAAGATTTGAATCGGGTATTGGATACGCCTTTAGATGTGAACAGAACCATAACGACCAAAAATCAAGTAGATTTAAAAGGACTGGGATACTCAGTTCCTCCTAGACAGTTATCTTCTCAGTTACCATCTTTGCAACATGGAGAAGTCCAGGGAATGGTCGAAGAAGTCAAGAGAGGAGGTCATTTCTGTTCATAACAAAGGATATGGATATACAAAGATTGCTATAAGACACATACTGTGAGACGAAGGCCTCCATACCCAGGTGCCAACCCCTGCTGACGCCAAAGAACAAGAAAAGTCGACTCCAGTATGTGGAAAAACCACGTGGACAAAGCACGAAGGTTTTAGGATACTGTACTGAAACAAAATTGGAACATTTTGGGCCTATGGATCAACAGTATGTCTGGAGAAGGAAGAACAATGCCTATGAAGAAAAGCACACCTTGCCTACTGTGAAGCTTCAAGCTATGTTTCACATGACGCCAAACTGCCAAAAGGATGTTGTACGAAGTACTAAAGATGGATGTGATTAAGGAGTTGAATAATTTTGTAAATGTTGCAAACACAGAAACGGTCTTTCCAAAAGTCCTTCTTTGATCTGATTACAAAAAAAATAAAAAAATAAATGTAAATCTTGCTAAAACACTTTATTGCATTGGGGATTGAATAATTTTGAACCCAACTGTGTCTGTGTGTGTATGTGTATATATATATATATATATACATATATA